GCTTGGTACTATTTTATTCTATGTAACATCCCTCTGAGATAGGATGGAAAAATGGAAATGAAAGCCTAACCAACTTATCCCTAATTAGAGCTCTATCATTTATAGAGATGGAAGTAGGATTATCCATTCATAACTAGCTAGACTATCTATATAATAATTATAATACTAATTGCCATTTTTATAGTACTTTCTGGTTTACAAAGCACTTGTGTACAGCCTTTTGAAGGAATAATGCAAATATTATCCCAAAATTACAGCTGAGGGGCAGCTAGGTGGCACAGTGGATAGAGCACTGGCCCTGAAGTCAGGAGGATCTGAGTTCAAATTCGGCCTCAGACCAAACACTTGACACTTACTAGCTGTGTGACCCTGGGCAAGTCACTTAACCCCAACTGCCTTAAAAAAACAAAACAAAACAAAACAAAACCAAAATTACAGCTGAGGGGAGATAATGTGACATAAGTTTTTATTGTTTCCATAGTGTGGATGATGTTTCCACAAAGGTCCTTCTTCAGTGCCTTATTGTGGTGTATAGATGATTTTGGTTATCAAGTATTATGCCAGAGAAATATGAGCTCTGGCAGATTCTGCCAAGATGGGAAGCTTTTTGTAAAGGGAAAAGAGGGACTAAGCACTAATTTACTACCTACTGTGTGCCAGGCAACTGTGCTAAGTGCTTTTACAAATACCTCGTTTGATCCTTACAATAATCCTTCTAGGTAGGTGCTATTATTATCCCCACTTGAAAGTTGAGGAAGCTGAGGCAAAAAGAAGTTAAGTGATTTGCCCAAGATCACACAGCTAGTGAGTAAGTGAGGTCACATTTGAACTCAAATCTCCCTGATTTTGGGCCTCGTGCTCTATAAAAAACAAAGACCACAAGTCTCCAGGTTTATTGTTTGAGGACTACCCTAGCTAAGTTTGGAGAAGCCACTGAAATTCCAGGAGACCATTTACTGGTTGTGGAAACTTTACAATCTATATTGGAAGGAGTGCTGACATTGACAAAAGTCCGCATCTTTAATGATAAGGAAATAAGATATGGAAACTGAAACTTGGAAAGTTAAAATGGTTTTTCTGAGGGTCACAACTAGCAAACGAGGGTCAGGACTCGCTCCAGATGTGGTATTCTTTGGATTATGCCAAGCCACTTCCCAAGCATGCAGCATGAACAAGTTACCTTGATTCCGTATAACTTGAATATACCTCATTAGTTACATGTTGTCTCCCCCATTAGAATGTACCCTTCTTGAGGGCAGGAACTGTTTTAGTTTTTCTTTGTATTCTCAGCACTTTAGCACAGTGCTTGGATCATACATAGTAAGCACTTACTTAACAATAAATAAGCATATGCTTATTGATTGACTGACTATCCAGGTACTATGGCTTCTTTCTCTCTCAGTCCCTGTATCCTCTTAGAGCTAAAAGAGAACTTAGACATTAACTAGTCCAACCTTATTTTACAGTGGAGGAAAGAGGCTCAGAGAATTAAAGTGACTTACTTGGCTACATAGCACATTTTTAGCAGAGCTAGGACTAGAACCAGTATGTCCTGACTCTCAGTCCATGTTTTTGGGGCTCAGGAAGTTGCTTCTATAGAAAAATATAAAAAGGGCAGCCTATGTCCCTTTGCCTTTTGGATGATTTGACTCTGCCTTAGTATCTCCTCTCTTCAGCTCTTCACTAGACCATCCACTCTCCATTTGTATCTTTTTTTTTCTCTCATTTTCACATTTCTTCCATTATTTTACCCACTCTCCTTTTCATTCTATCTTTTCCTCTGACCCACCTCCTTCCTTTTCTTGCTGATGTTACTAAAAGTTTTCCACATGCCTCGTTTGCTAGCATGCTACCATCTTTACTGTATCTAAAATCCCTGAAGAACCACTTACATCCCCCCAAATCAGTATTACCTCAGTACACAGGAGTCACTTGTGTAGTGAGTCCAACCTATACCCTAAAGGCACCTAAAACGTGCTTGAGAAGTAGTCTGGCCTGTGCTTGAAGATCTGCAATGAAGAGGAGCCTATTTCCTCCAGAGGCTTTTGGATAGCTTGTTAGGAAGTAGTTTTTGACTTAATTTAAGCCTAAATTTGTCTCTTTTTAACCTCCTATTACCCCTGGTTCTGTTCCCTGGGGCTAAGTAGAGCAAGTCTAAGAACTTCCACATATATTATAGCAATGTGGACATTTTCTAATCTGCCACCCAGGATACCCTCCCTTTCCCCATTTTTCCCTCATGCTCTGAGAACAGTCATCAAATCAACACACTGGCATTGTTTCTGGAAAGATTTTGGCTACCAGTGCTGATATGTATTATTTCCACTTATTTAAAATGTGAGCTGCTTGAGGGCAGGGTCTCCCTTACTTTTGTATTTGTATTCCCAGGGCTTATCACAGTATCCTGTTCATAATAAGTACTTAATGAGGGCTTTCTTTATTTATCGAAATACTAGTAGAGGATTTCATAGGATTTTAGTCTAACTGTCCACCCCCGTCATTTACTGAGGATGACAGTGAAACCCACAGTAGGAAAGTGACTTACCTGAGATCACATAGCTAGTAAATGCTAAACTAGAATTTGAACCCAGGTCTTTTGACTTGGTATCCAAAGGACAGTTTAATGTGTAAATTGTCAAGCTTCTTGTGGAATGGTGGATAGTAGCATTGCAGAGAAATGCTGCTATGAATCCTTGTAGGACTTATGATGTGACCATTTGTTTCTGAAGACAACAGGTAGACTTAAAGTAATAGAATCATAAAATGTTAGAGCTAGAAAAGATCTTAGAGCATGGAATGTTAGAAGTAGAAGGGACCTTAGTGATCATTTAATCCAATTTCTCAGTTTACAGAGGATGAAAGTGAGGCCCAGTAAGGTCAAATGATTTGTCCTGAATCAGTTAATAAATGGCAGAGCCTCGACTTAAACCTAAGTCTCCCAACTCCCAGCGTTCTTTCCACTTTCCACTGTGCCATACTTACATACCTTCTGTTTTGTTATCATTTAAATGCATGTTTTATGGATGCCTTTTGTTTTTATACTAGTCTTAGAGAGCTGGGGAGCTCTCCCCAGGAAAAACCCTCTATTCTGACAAAGAAAACAATTAAGCACAAGCATCTGACTGTGATATGAGCTCCTTAAGGATTGAGACTTTTACCTTTTTTTTTTTAATCCTCTGGACTTAACAAGTGCCAGGCACATAGTAAACACTTAATAAATGCTTGTTTACTGACCAATGGAATATAACAAGGTATACAATATTCTGTCCTACTAGCACACCCTATGTCTTTTCTCCTGCCCCTAAAAGGAGTTATAGTTCATTGTTTAGGACCTTCATGGACTTTTCCATGTTTACCTCCCTGTTTCAGAGTTTGGTCTAGAGAATGGCTTCTTATTAATTTATCTTTACATTTATGTTGTTGTAGTCATCTAATATATTTTGGTTTTGCTTATTTTACTCTAAAACACCAATTTTCCTTCCCATGTTCTCTGAATTCCTCATTCCATCACAAATTACTCCACAATCTTATTCTATTACCTTCAAATAACAGTTCTCCCCCCCCACCCAGCTATTCCCCAGTCAGTGAGCACTCACTTTGCTTCTCATTCTTTACTACCACAAAGAGTGTCTAGCATTATTTTCCTTGAGATCAAAATTATTTGTACAAATTTTGTGGATCACCTCCCAAATCCTTTGAGCTAGGTTGGTGGGAAGAATTATCTGTTATGTACTTTTGAGACAGAGATTTCATTTTAAACTGATAATGTCAGTCACAAAGGCAGAAATAAAGTCTAGTCTTCTGATTTTTGGTGAATCAATCTGCTCTTTTTTTTTTCTCTTTGCATTCTTGTCACTAATACCTACAGAATTCCATCCATTCCATCTAATTTCTGGAAAAGACTGAACAAGAAATATGAATTTCTTTTTGTAAATTAATCTTTTGCGCCATTTCTCAAGCTTCCACAGGCAGTTTGGCAGAGTAGTTTCATAAATGCAAATAATCTTCAGTGATTACCTTTTAGGCCATTCTAGGATGTTTTCTAAAAAGAAAAGTAAATGCTTTTTAGAATTATCTGTACCAAGTCCCTGGGGTGAATACAGAAGGGATTAGGAATAACTCTCAGATGGAGGCAGAACCAAAGTGCATTAATTAATTGTAAGTCCATTTTTTTACATGTCCTACTTTTCAGTCAACTAAAAAAGTATCTCAAATGTCTATTGTATATGAAGCATTGTGCCAGTAACTGGCATAAAAATAGAAAGATGAAATAATTCCAGCTCTCTAGAAACTTAGATTTTTTTCTGAGGGAATCCATTGATAGGTAAATATGAGATAATTTGATAAGGGAATGAGCACCAACAGCAGAAGGACTAGGCTTAGTTAGGACTAGCTAAGCCTTGAAGCAAGCTAAGAATTTTAAGATGCAAATGTTAATCCATTCTTGGGGATGGAAGAGAGCCATCTTGAAGGTATAGAGATAGAAGGAGGAGGAGGAAGGCCAAATTCAATACCTACCAGGCTATTTTGGCTTGAGCAGAGAGGAGCACATAAAGGGAGGAAATATGAAATAAGCCTGAAATGATAGGTAGAAGCCACATTTTGGAGGACTTTAAATGCTAGGCTGATGAGTCTTTCCTTAGCAGAATAGGGAACCACTGAAGATTTTTGAACAGAGGTGTGATATAGTCAGAGTTGTGCATCAGGAAGATTATTTTAACACCTTTGTGGAGGAGGAGAGATAGGAGAGTTTGGAAGCAGGAAGAATAATTAGGAAGTTATTTTGATTGTGTAAGTGTAGAGGAGGTCAAAGGATGACAAATTTAAAGACCTGGAAGGAACTTCCTGAGGAAACTGTGGCCCAGAGAGGTCACACAGAAGCAGATCTTAGATGGAAACTCTGAGGCCTCAAGTAGTGTAATGACAATGGCATGGAACAGCTGGAGAGACTTTTATCTATTCAATTCAATAAGTATTTTCTAAACATCTACTCTCTGCTAGGTAGCAAGGATATAAAAGCAGTGACACAACAGGCTCTATCCTCAAGGAGCTTATATTCTACTGGAGATATATGACATGTATACAAGTAAGTAAAAAAAAATATATATATATGTATGTACACACACACACACACACACAAAGTAATTTCAAGAGGGAGAGAATACTAGCAACTGAGAGCATCAGGAAAAGACTCCTTAGGATGTGGTAGTTAACTGTGCTTTCAAGGAAGTTAGGGGCTCTGAGGGTGAGGTGAAAGAGTTGTGTATTTCAAATATGAAGTGGACCTCTTTTTCAAGGGCACAAAGGTGGAAGATAATTTGTCATATATATGGAACAGGTGGCAGTCCCACTTGACTAGATTAGGGTCCTTGGAATTATATTTGAAATGCCAGCAAAGAATGATTATGATATTGGCCTTTCAGAAAACTGAACTTAAAGTTCACACAAAATTTATTTGAGTAATTGAGAGGTTAAGGGGTATGTGTATCTTATATCAAGAAGTTTAATAGCTAAGTGCCAGACTTTCACTTTCATTTTCTAACTGTTACCATTATTTATGTTAGATTTCTTTAAATTGAGTCCCAGCAAAGGGATTCTTGATGATGAAATGGGGAATAGAATAGAATAAATGCTCACCAGTTCTTCCTCCTCCCATATACACAATACTTATGACTCACTTATAATTTACTTCTGGCAGGGACTGAGATGAAAGGTACAGGAAATGGAGCTAGGCCCAGTGGTTCAGATGCTAACTGCCAACTGTTTTTAGACTTTTCAAAAATCAGTGAGAATGCCAGATAGACACCATGATTTCTAGGATTTCCAGATGGATAAATAGGATGTTAGTGACTTGTAGAGCTGGGAAAGACCTTAGAAATCATCTGGTAGATAGATACCTTTCATTTTGCAGGTGAAGAAACTGACCTCAAAGAAATAGAGTCACTTGCCCCAGGTCAAGTAGCACTCTTACTTTTGTTCCACCCTCCCTCCTGCCTTCTTTCTGATCTCTGAAGAAATGGGTTTCTTATAGCAACCTAATATGTACATGAACATTGTAAACTGTTGTTAGCTTTACCAAGGAAAGCATGGCCACTATTAATTCAATTGTGAGAAGCCACATTTTGGCATCATTTATTTTTCATCTTTTTACTCATGGTCTAGAGTAATCCCTTAAGTAAAATACAATTTGTCACTTCCTAACACTGTATAAATCTTTTTTCTAGTTATCCTTTAGGATATTTCATTCTGATCTTTGGGTTTATTGGGTTTGAATCTTTTTTTTTCTTTAACAAATTATATTCTTTTGGTTCTTTAGAGGAAAGTCTTATAAAATTTCTCAGCATAAAGAGGTTCTTTAAGTGAGAAAATGTCATACTAGGGGAGTTTTTTTCCTCCGGGGATCCCATTGTAGTGAGAACCATCTTTCTTATAGGATTTGTGCAGTCTCACTTTCATTCTCTATAGTAATAAAGATTTTAGACCAAGGCTTTCATTACTTATCACATTTCATTTCATGTGCTTGCACGTCTGATGACTCCATGCCGTTGCCCAGCCCATCTTTTCCAACTTTTCACTTTGCTTCAAATGTCTGCTAAGAGTCTTGCAAATTGTTGAGGTTTCCATGAATTGTTTTAGTGATTAATCTGAGGATTAGAGAGAGAGAGAAAGACAGACAGACAGATAGACACACTTTAGGGTGAGATTCAGGTCTCAGAGTCAGATCTTCATATCTTAAGAGATCATCTAGTTCAATCTCATTATATTACTGAGATCCACAGTGAAGTGACTTTCTCAGTGTCACACGGGTAATAAATGGAAGAGCCTAACCTAGAATTCAGGTCTTGAACTTCAACGTGACGATGGGGGCCAACACTGGATTTGGAGTCATCGTGGTGTGCTGGAAAACACATTGACCTTGGAATCGGTCAATCTGAGTTAGAATTCTAACTTTGCTACTCATTACCTGTGTGAACTTGGAAAAGTCACTTCAGTTATTTTGGCCTCAGTTTTCTTACCTGTAAAATGAAGGGATTGATATAGATGATCTTTAAGTTTCCTTGTAGTTCTACATCTATGAGTCTATGACCTTGGTTTCAGTTCTAGCTCTGCTATTTACTACCTGTGTGACCTGAGGTAACTTAATTGTTGTCTCAGCCTCAGTTTTCCTAATTGTGAAATGAGAGGGCTAAACACTCTCTAAAGCCCCTTCCAGCTCTAACATCTATGTTCTTATGACTGCTAGTCCAGGGCTTTTTTCATTATGCCATGTTGCTTTACTGGTCACCAATATTCTTGCTTGACTTTTTTGAGAACTACACTGAGAGTTAATACAAGTTGGGCTGCCTTAAGCTGAACCTAACATGTCAGCGGGAAGCGTTGCTTCAATATCCAGTAGCTACCCTAGGGGTCTTAAATTTTGGTTTACAGATCAGCAGATACGTAAGAGAGAAGTTCTACAGTATCTCCCTATGTAAGATCTCTTGCATTGATTCACTTCACTCATACAACCACCATCCCCTTTCAGGATCTAGTTCTGGACAATTGCTCTAGCCTCCTAATTGTCTCCCTATCTCCATTCTCTTCCCTCTCTGCTTCATTCTCCACATGGTTGCCAGATTCAGATACCTAAAGCACCAGTATCACCATGACATTCCCCTAATTAAAAATCTTCAGCAGTTCCCTGTTGTTTCTACTGTAAAATAAAGATGCCTTTACTTGGCATCTTAAGGCCTTCACAACCTAGCTCCAACCTGTCCTTCTGGGTTGATTTCACATTATTTTCCATTCCAGGCATATAGCCTACTTGTCATTCTCCATAGCACAGTCTGTCTCCCTAACCTGGAAAGTTCACCCCTGTGTTCCCCATTGTCCTTTCTACCTCTTGGAGTCCCTAGCTGTCTTCACGATCTAGCTGGAGTGTTAGATCTTGTCCAAAGCCTTTTCTGATTCTTCTAGGTGTTATTACCAACAAATGTGTATTTGTTATATACATATATGTTTATATATGTATATAAAACTTACTTATCCAAATATGCAGTGTTCCTCCTACTAAAATGTAAGTTCTTTGAGGGTAGGAACTTCTTAATTTTGGTTTTTGCATCTCCCCCTTTCTAGCACAGTGCCTGGCATATGCAGGTACTTAATAAATGCTTGTCGAATTGGAACAAAATAGAGGTTAGGAGGAAGACACTTTAAAAGTCACTGAAGTAAGTAAATCATTGAAGAGTAACCAGGTATAGAGTTAGAGCATGTCGGAAATTGATGGAAGGTAAGTTGATGAGAAAATAGGATTTCACTCCCAAAATAGAGATTGAATATATGTGTTTTTTCAAGAACTAATCTGCTAAATAAAGTGATGTCCATTTGCATAGTGTATACCTGGCATTACTTACAGAACCATAGCTAAAGCATGTCACCTTGTATAGTGCAAAGAAAGGGCCCCTTTTCCCTAGAAACCTTGATTTGCATTAATGTAGTGCATTATGTGCTTGAGGATAAAATGAGATAATAGGCATGAAAGCATTTAGGAAAATTAAAGGCATCATTCAAATTGACAGACAGAGTAGTGTAATGGAAAGAACTGTCTGGAGATGGCATCCAGTTCAAATCTTCCATTTGCTGTGTATTGCTTATGTTACCTTGGCTCTGGGTAACTAGCTTTCTAAAAAATTATACAATACTAACTGTATCTAATGAAGGAAAGGGAATAAGTATTTATATAGCTCCTACCCTATGTCAGGCACTAGCTTTTTACAAGTGTTATCTTATTTGATCCTCACAACAACCCTGGCATGTAGGTGCTATAATTATCCCTATTTTATACTTGAGGAAACTGAGGCAAATAGAGCTTAAGTGACTTGCCCAGTGTCATACAGCTAATAAGTGTATGGGGCTGGATTTGAGCTCAAGTTTTCCTGATTCTAGGCCCAGTGTTCTATCCACAGTGTCACCAACTGTCTCTGTTCACAAATGACAGCTAACTAAAGGAAATTTTCAAATAAATTGTTTTCCAAATTGATAAATAAAGGTTTAACTCTAGTGGAAGGTTCATTTTTTAAATTACAAATGAGAAATTTCACTCTAAATTAGCTAAGTAGTTAATCTCTATGCTTTTACCATGGTAATTTTGTTTTGTTTTGTTTTGTTTTGTTTTTCTACCGTGTCCTAATTTTTAACTGCTGCTTGATTTTTGTGGATGAATTGTAAAATCAGGGTACCTTTGAATGCAGAGTGGATGTCAGAGCTTGAAAGACTCTTAAAGCACACGACTAAGAATGTGATGAATGGAAGAGACACTAAGGATGTCCAGTCCAAGCCCCTCATTTATCAGAAAGGTCACGGAGGCACAGAGTGAGGAATACAGCAGCAGCCCCAGAACTAGAACCTGGGCTTCCTGACTCCTAGTCCCGTGCTCTTTACTCTCATCACACAGCTTCCTTTGAACTGTTTGCTAGTTTTGCTTATTCCTTAAATTTGGGCCCTAGTTTAGCCCCAAATTTCACTGGACTTTTAATTGGTTGCCCTGCTGTCTCTCCTTTTTTCCATCCATCTTCTCCACACCTGCTAAATTTATGTTCCCAAAACACAGATCTGACCCTGTCCTTCCCTTCTCAAAAATCTTCTGTGGCTCCTATTGCCTCTGGGATAAAATGCAAACTCTGCTGTCTAGGATTTTGGGGATTTAAAGTCCTTCATAACCTGGCCCCAAGCACCTTCTTGTAGTTGTACTGGACATTATTCTTCTTCTCAGACTTTACAGTCCAGGCATCCCTGTCTGGCTGTTCTGTAATGACTGGCATGTACTCTTGTCTCACCTTGGCTTCCTACAATCGAATCCTAGCTTCAGAGCTCATTTCCCATGCCACCTCCTCCATGAAGCCTTTCCTAATTCCTCATCTGCCCTCTGAAGTTACCTTGTATTTACTTTGTCTGCCTTGTATTTATATTTGTCTGAATGCATTTAGTTTTCCTAGTGAGAAAGTAATTTCTTTGAGGGTCAGAGTCTGTTTTATTTTTGTCTCAGTATCTCTACCACTGAACCCAAGGGACATGCTGGAGAAATGCTTGTTGATGGACTGGTCTATTGATAGTCTGCCCCCTCCCACGCATCCAGCTGTTCCTCCTAAGTGATAATCCATTTCCCCTCTCCTTGCCTTTGCCCTGGTTACTCTCCACATTTGTAGTACAGTCCCCTCGTCATTTCTGCCTTGTAGCATCCTAGGTCGAAGAGCAGCTTGGGTGCCACCTTCCTGATCTCTCCAGCTCTTAGTGTCTATCACTAACTCGTAGTTATGTTATATTATTTTGCATATACTTTGTACTAAACTATCCCCCAGTAGAATGTAAGCCGCTTGAGGGCAAGGGGCTATTTTGTTTTATTTCTTTTGTAAACCCAGTACAGTGCCTCTTCTACAGTAAGAATTTGTTAAATGTGTATTGAATTGATCTGGACAGTCTTCTTGTACTTTTAGTATCATGGGCAATTTCTTACTCACTTTAACAAACATAAATTTGCTTGTTTCACCTAATAGATAAAATGGGCAGAATGTCATAGTGGAAAAAGCAGAAGATTTGGAGTCATGAAACTTGGATTTAAATGACAGCCCTGCCCCTTACTAGCTGTGTGATCATTAGCCTCAGTTTCCTCATCTGTAAAATGGGGATAGCTGCTTGGTAAGGTGGGTAGATAATCACCCTTAGAATCAAAAAGACTTGGGTCTGAGTCCTGCTTCTGATCTATACTAGTGGGCAAATCACTTAACTTCTCAGTGTCCTCATGCAGATATCTAACCCTGTATGTACCAGATGAGTTGCTGATCTTCATTGGTGGAGAAGGGAATTCTCCCTCCAGTCACTGATGAGATCACAGGTCCAGACCTCTCTACTTCCCCTCCCTTCTCCCTCCCCCAAATACCTGGAGTGCTGACCTCACTGGGTTATTGTGAAGTTTAAATGAAATAATGTATGTACAGTGGTTGGCAAACCTTAAAGCATGACATAAATGTCAAGTTTTTATAGTTGTTGTTATCATTTAATGACTTCTCAACCTCAGTTTCCTCGTCTATAAATTGGGGGTAATAACACTTGTGCTACCTACCTCACAGTGATGTTTTTAAACCTTAAGACCCTCTACAAAGGTGAGTTATTGATACTATTGTAGGTTACCTGTGGAAACGGGTGCCCAGAAAACCCAAGGAACACTTGACCACAAGCACTGGGGTGGAGTGGGTGGGGCGGTCATGGACACATTCATATTTAGCCCTCAGGCCCCTCTCCTTCCACCTTTTTAACTTAGACACATGCAGTTAGTCCTTCTCTCAGACTGTATCCTGGGAAAGAAGGAGAGTTCAGGAAAAAGCAGGTTGAAATGAAATGTGAAATGTGAAATGAAAGAGGTGCCTAGATGTCATTGCAAAAGGACACTACTATTGTTTTTGTTTTTTCATCTTTGTCACCATATAGAATACAAGGATGCCCTACAAAGTTATCACAGGGACTGGAGCTCAGAATTGGTGGCAGGTGGGTATCCTCAGACCCCCAAGTGTGTGTGTATGTGTGTCTGTGTGTATATATATATATATATATATATATATTATATGAATGTATGTCTATGTAGATGTTACTTAAGTGTACAAGAATATTTGTGAATTATTTCATAGGAACTCACATTCATCTGAGGCTTAGTTGAAAGATCGGGATATTCAGATATTCAGCATGGAAAAATGAAGCTCTATGAGAGATACCATGGTCAAGTGTTTGGAAGGTTGTCAGGTCAATGAGGGATTAGTCCTAACTCTGTGGTCCCAGAAGGCAGAGCATGGTTAATTTAGTAAAATTTAAAGAGGCAGATTCCTGCTTGACATGAGGGAGAAGTTCCTAACAGTTAAGAGCTAGGAAAGAGTAGAATCATTTGAAATGAGATAGCTCACGAAATAGTAAATTCCCTATCACTGGAGGCCAGATGACCACTCATTTGGACTCATGAAACATCAGAGCTAGAAAGGACGTTAGAGTTCATCCAGTCTGGTTCCTTCATTTCTCAGACGAGGAAGCTGAAACTCCCAGAGCTTGTCCTATATCAGGGAGCAGATAAGTTTGCTGACCCCCGAAAAGTCCCTTCCAATGCCAGGATTACATGATAGGAGACTTTCCTAACTTTGACAATTTCAGTAATATACTTTGGCGTTTTTAAGATCATAAGTACTAAAAGAGAATGGTGCAAAGGGTGAGATCTCTAAAAATTAGAGGATCTTTAAACTATTTGGAAAAACTTGTGAAGTATGAAAACATTGAAATGCCGAAATAAATGAGCAGAAGGGCAGCTAGGTGGCACAGTGCGTAGAGTTCGGGCCTTGGAGTCAGAAGGATCTGAATTCAAGTCCAGCCTCAGACACTTGACACTTAACTAGCTATGTGACCCTGGGCAAGTCACTTAACCCTGATTGCCTCACCAAAAAAGCAAAAAACAAAAACCCCCAAAACCCAAAAACAAGAATGAAAACTTCTCCATTATAGGATAGTTTAAATGCATCTCTGCTGGTAACCGTGATATTAGGCTTTGTGACCCATGGAAGGTGTGTCAGCCCCTAAAGATGATAGTTACACTAACTGGGAGGCAGTTACTCTTGCAAATGATAGACAAAAGTTCTGGAGTTTTGCAGTTTAGTTCCTAATATGTATATTCTTTAATCTTACACTTTAAAGTAATTCAATTTCATGTGGCTATAAAAGTTTTGAAAAGTGAATATGAAGCAGTATATTTAAACATTATGATGTTAGTCTATTGAATTTGTGTATATCTGCAAATTTCTGTTGGCCAGTTTATGTGAAATATGTGTGATTACTACTAATTCGAGTGGCAAGGGTGCCCAGTCTTTGAAGATGCTGAGTTCAGGTGTTCAGTGTAATATGGTGGCATGTATTCACCAGAAGGTGCACATGAGCTTGCTGAATAGTACATTTTATAGAAGTCAGTTTATGTAATTTCAAACAATTTAATAAAGATTTAATTCAACTAGGAAACTAAAGTCTTCCAGCCCTTCCTGAGTGCAGATAATATATTAGATTAAATGGTTTAAGCCTTTGTTTATTATAGTCATTATATATATATTATATATATAGTCATTATAGTTCATTATAGTCAAATAATACGAATCTCTATGTCTCGGTGTATTTTTTTTTTAAAGATGCTATTTTCCCTTCACTGTAATAATAGGGTACATTTTCTTAAAAATCACTTGATAATGATTGGTCCTGCCTGTTGAATGAACAAATAAAAGAGTTTTGCTGTGATAGTCTGTAGCTCTAAAGTACCTATAATCTCCAGCTATGCTTCTGAACTGCTACAGGTCATACTCTGCGAAAGGCTGGAAGAAGCAGGTCCTGTTCACGGGAAAAAAAGGAGGTAATATGTTCATGTGCTGGGAGTTTGGTGGGCAGTTTTTAATTTAAAGGGTTTGGGGACACTTGGTAGTAAAAAGTGAAATATGCCTAGATCTTTTGACATTTTTCCTCTGATGAAAAGTCTTTAATTCTTGTTAAGTCAATGACTGTTGATAGCTCTGATTTTAATAGGGTAGCTGATAAAACCAAGAGATCTCTTCTTAGAATGAAACCATGGTACCCCAAGTAAAGTGTTTCCTTTAAGTAAAGCAACATACTTGGATCCAGAGATTGAAAAACATTTTAATTAATACATTTTCTTTTAACATAGGAAACATAAAAACAAAAGCCACAATGTACACTCTTCCAAAAGTTCAGGCAGACAGCACAACGGGATTGTGACCGAAAGTGTATGTTCACAAAAAAGGATGGTTTTCTGCTCTAACTTTAACAATGGAGTATCATCATTGTCCATTGTATTTAACCTATTTTGTTGTGATTTGATACTGTCTTCTTGTATGCTGTTGTAGTTAGGTAGTATATTATTCTTTTGAATCAGCTTTCTTTAGGCTACATCAATTCATACAGATCTTTCCATATTTATTTGAATTCTTCATGTTGTCATCCCTTGTAGCATAATAATATTAATATTCATGTAACCACAATTTCTTTAGCCATTCCCTAAATTGTTGTGCACATAGTTCATTTCTAATTTGATTCTGTGACAAATAAAGAATATTTTTATATGTCAAAAAGGATAGGAATATGTCAAAAACTTTCAGATTGTTAGGTAAATAGGGGTGAAAATTTTATAACTTTTTATGTGCGATTTTGTGTTGCTTTCCCAAATGGTCAGACCAGCTTCAGTATGAGTCAGTTGCTGGGATTATTTCCCAAAGCTTTGCCAAGGTAGAATTTTTCATATTTATCCATCTTTACTAATTTGTTGGGTATGAGGTTATGCCTTAGAATTATTTTAATTTGTACTTCTCTGATTATTAATAATTTTGAAATTATTTTTCTCATGGTTCTTGAGAATTTCTTTTTATTTTCATTTTAAAACTGCCCATTCACAATGATCTTTTCACCAGTTATCTATTGGGGAATAGCTCTTAATCCTATAGATTTGTATGGAAGTTGTATATTAAACTTTTTATCAGAGGTGTTTAATGTGAAGTGTTGTCCCCAATCTATATTTTCCCTTTTTCTTCTAGCTAAATTGTTTTTTATTTATGTAAAACCTATTTTAAAAAAAAAAACGATAGCAGCTATTTTGTCTTTTTAATATTCTTTCTTCACATATATACATATATATGTATATATAGTATAATAGAATATATGTCTGTGTGTAAGTGTGCCTGTTTACAGGTATGTGTATCATAAGGTTTAAGAATTTTTCCCTCTGCACAACTCTGAAATACATATCCTTCCATTCTGGTCTAAACCCATTTCCCATTAACTTTTATCTAAGTTTCCAAGCATTTTTTCTTTCTTTTTTGGAGGGAGCAAGGCAGGATAGAACTGCTATTTATTTCCTCCACTACAAAAGAAATGATTCACAAAACACTCATAATAGTCCATTCATAAATATTTAAAACATGATATGGTAAGAAGAAACTTTTAGTGGAACCACTAAAGGTATCATCTTCACTTCTACACTGTACTGTATAAACAATTTACTCAATATCCATTATCTTTTGGTGAGCCAGGGCATGGCTCATGCACATGTTAGTGTGTATCATCATCATCTTTTTTTTTTCCCCCTTTCTTTTTTGGTGAGGCAAAACAGGGTCACACAGCTAGTATGTGTCAAGTGTCTGAGGCTGGATTTGAACTCAGGTCCTCCTGACTCCAAGGCCAGAGCTCATCCACTGTGCTAGCTAGTTGCTTCTCATCATCATCATCTTTAAGAAGTATTGTAATAGTTGTAGGAAACACTTCCAGCTGGGCAACCAATTTGTAGATCAGGAGCTCCTGGTTGCTTCAATTCATGGCATTGCCACCAAGGCTAGAAATTTCATCTCAGAATTGCTATTCAGTAACCTGTATTCCAGGAAAGAATCTCAAAGCAGAAGAGGCAGCATGTATGCTGACTGATGCATGTAGACAATTGCTATAGCTGATAGGCCTCCCACAAGAAGTCCAAGGAAGAGCTTGTAGAGTCTCAAGCCACATAAAGAAAGAGCAGGAGCAGAAGGTTTCTCCTTATAAAGTCTATTGAGTGAATAGCTGTTGCTGCTCTATAGTTAGTCCTCTTTAATGCTGCTTGCAGTTACAGGGTGATAGGGCACAAATCAACCAGAAGCCTCTGATTTCTCTTGTCCTTTGCGAGGGGCTCATCCACAAGGATGGGCAAAGGTACATGCTCGACTCCAGGGGGCATACTCCAATTATGTGCGAGGTTCCCTTGATTACCCTCGTTATTCTCTCTCTTCTCCCAGTTAAATGCTTGTTATCCTCAGAAAATCAACTGGTGTAAATTTGGCACATTGTCTCATTTCCCCAATTCTGGAAAGTTCTATGGGAAGCTGGAAGAAGGTCGGACATTGTCATTTCCAGTGACTGCTCCCCATGCTTTTCATTAGGGTCTCAACAAAGTCCAATGGCACAGATCTAAATGGCTTCTGAAGTACCATGCCCAAGTATTCCTTTCAGCATAGCCCTAAAGACAGTTCCCAAATGAAGTCTGTTGTGAGGACCCAGTCCAACCACAGATTATGGGCCTAGAGATTACAGTCACTCCCTAATATAAAGTGTGTGTATTCAACAAGCAACATATTATAAAATTCTCATAGATTACTGCCTAGCATTTATAAGGTCCTGTCCTGACCCAAGATAATGAAGAAAAAAATTAATTGAAATAAAAAAAATTAACAGAAGGGAAAAGATAAAGAGAAAAACAAGTTTCCCCTTTCAGAGAGAAAGTCTTATCCTGAATATACCCCTCCATCACTCCTGTTGCTCTCCCAAGATCATTTAGGAACCTGGGATCCAACTAGAAGCTCCTTGCAGAAACGTGACAAAGCAACCTGGATTAAAATTCTTTCCTAGATCCCTCCAGCATATAGGGCAACTCATGCATTTCTCCATTGGACCCCCTGTCAATAAATAGAGAAATCCAGATGGAGGTCCAGACAAAATCTCTATGCAAAACATATAGCACCCCATGTTTCTCAAGTGGATCCCTTCAAAACTATAGGACTTTCCAAAACAAGTTCTAAACTCTCCCAATTATAGGACAAATAGACAAACCTTAAAAAAAGCATATAAACTCAGATAAACTTCATACATATTTAGACTTCCAAAAGCGGATTAAGTGCTTGAGTTTAATGGTAATATGCAGAAACACTGATGATTTGTGTGGGTTTATTTTATATTCTGTAACTTTGCTGTAGTTTTTAATTGTTTTGATTAATTTTTTGATTGACTCTCTAGGGTTCTCTAAATCATTTGCAAAAATGATAGTTTTGTTTCCTCATTGCCTATGCTTATTCCTTCAATTACTTTTCTTGGGTTTGGGATATATTACTATAATCTCATTGCTAGCATTGTATTTAAAATTTTTGCATCAATATTCATTAGGGAAATTGGTCTGAGGTTTTTTTTTCCCCTCTCTGTTTTTATTTTCCCTGGTTTAAGTAGCAAGACCATATTTGTGTCATACAAGAAATTTGGTAGAATTCCTTCTTTATCTCTTTTTTCAGACAGTTTTAATATGTTGTATTGAAATTAACTGTTCTTTAAATGATGCAGTTCTCTTTAAATCCATCTGGTCCTCAATTTTTTTTCTTTGGGAATCCATTTATTGCTTGTTCAATTTCTTTTTTTAAGATTGGGCTATTTAAGTATTTTATTTCTCAATCTGTTCATCTGAGTGATTTATGTTTTTGTAAATATTTATTTAGATTGTTAATTTTATTGACATGTTGTTAGGCAAAATAGCATCTAACAATTGCTTTTATTTCTTTTTCATTGGTTGTTCACCTTTTTCATTTTTGCTACTGGTAATTTGATTTTCTTTCTTTTTTAAGATGAAAGTAGCCAATGACATCTATTTTATTGTTGTTTTTTTTTAAGAGCGCCTAATTTTATTCATTAGTTCAATGGTTTTGTTTGGTTGTTTATTTTTACTTTGAATTTTGTTAGTCACTCTTTAGATTCTTAGAATTTCTATTTTGGTGTTTAATTGGTTTTTTTTTTTAATCTGTTGGCCTAGTTGTTTTTTTTTTTTTTTTAGTTGCATGCTCAATTCAGTAATTTACTCTCCATTTTTTTATTGATATAAGCATTTAGAGATGTAAGTTTTCCTCTAAGTACTGCTTTGGCTTCACAAATTTGGATATGTAATTTCATTGTTATTATCTTTAATGAAATTATTTGATTGTTTCTATGATTTGTCCTTTAACCTATTCATTCTTTTTTCTTTAAATATTTTATTGCCCCCCAATTACATGTTAAAACAGTTTTTAACATTTTTTTTTGAAGTTTTGAGTTCCAAATTCTTTCCCTCCCTCCCTCCCTTTCCTTTCTTCTCTCTGAGACAACAAGCAGTCTGATATAGGTTATACATGTGCAATCATGTAAAACATTTCATATTCGTCATTTTGTGCAAGAAAACTCAGGGAGAGAGAGGGAGAGAGAGAGAGAGAGGAAGCATGCTTCAGTCTGTATTCAGACAATATCAGTTCTTTCTCTGGAGATGGATAGCATTTTTCCTCATAAGTCCTTTGGGATTATCTTGGATCATTGTGTCGCTGAGAATAGCTAAGTTATTCACAGTTCTTCATCACCCAGTACTGCTGTTACTATGTACACTGTTCTTCTGGTTCTGCTCACTTCACTTTGTATCAATTCATGTATGTCTTTGCAGATTTTTTTTTTTAATCATCCTGTCGTTTCTTATAGGACAATAATATTCTATGACAATCATATACTATAACCCACTTATTCTTTAGGATTAAGTTATTTAGTTTCCAATTAATTTTAATCTCTGCTTCAAAGGTCCTTTGTTAGATGTAATTT